ATTACCCATCAATAGTGAGCTTTGTGAAGAGTTAAGTGTTGGCTAGTATGGATCCTAATCAGTACCTAATCACTCAACTCAACTGCATAGTAAGGGTATTTTTGATATTTCCTCAAGTGACTTGTAACCCTAACACTAGCTAAATGTAGTTTAGAGGGGTGACTATCTTTATATCTTGTTTTGTAACTCTTTCTGACCATAGTGAAACAGCAGTGACTGTTGACGTAGCCCTATGGTGAACCACGTAAATCTAGTGTGCATGTAATTTATTATTATTGTTTATTGTTGTTCTCTCCTTTTCGTGTCTCACAATTCCTAGTAAGGTGTCCTGCAAATCCTAGTGTGGGGACATATTTTCTGAATACCAACACGTGGCATGGTGACGCCGACGTGTCAGCCGAGGTGCCACGTGCCCTGGTAGTTAAGCCGAGGTAATATCGGAGAAGCCGAGGTCATCTCCGAAGATGTCGGAGTCCGAAGATAAGGGACAAGAGTCCTGAGGCAAGGAGGGGACTTAGTTAAGATAAGGATAAAGCTCTTAGGGAGTTTATCTCTATCTCTTAAAGAGTCCAGAGTAAGCACTAAGATTGGAGTTCATAGAAGTCATACTTCTAGTTGGACTTGGATTGAGTATATTATAAAAGAAAGGCACCCCCGTGGGTCTAAGGTATGCAATTCATACTTTGAATATTCAGTCTAGTACTTGATTATCCTTGAGAATCATACTGACTTGATCGTCGGAGTCCCCCCGGGTGGAAGAACCACCGCCGGAGCTTTTCTTTTCTGTTACAGGTTGCTGGAGCCATCTATTCTGCCTGTGCTTAGCTGCTGATCACTAAACGGGCAGTGTGGTCAAATTTTTACCCACACACCTAGCATTAAAAAATACCATCCTCCAGGTAAACAACTCATGACACCTTTGGTTAGAGTTTCAGAAACACAAGTGTGGCTGAACTGTCTTAAACAAAGGCCCTCCAAATAAAACCAAAAAAAGAAAAGAAGCAGCCAAAACTAAGTAATGAAAAAGAATTCTACAAGATAGAAAGTACCATCAATGCAACATTCTCAACCCTAAGTTTCTCTGAACCTTCCATTAATTGTTTCATTTCAGATTTAAGGGTTATGTTTTCCACTTTCACGGTTTCATATCTCTTCATCAGTTCCTCAGTTTTAGCCTAAAAAGAAAAAAAACAGATTGAACTAATAACAAATTCAATTGGGAAGCTGAGTTACAAATGTGAAAACTAATTATAACTTAAATTCCATATACCTGCTTTCTTAACCTAGACCTCCTGCCAAATTGTCTGTTAGCGTGCTTTCTCTTCTCTCGTTTCAGCCGTTGTTCATCCTGAAGAAACAAACACAAAGCAAATAAGAGTTTGAAAATAATATTGCACCTCTGCTATACTCTGCAAGCTGTTCTATATGGAAATGTTCGAACTCAAAGTCCCCTCAAAATATCTTTACAATGTTATAAACATGGTTTTAGAAAGCTACACTATTAACTAGGTCTTAATACAGGCAATCTCTCAGCTAATTTTGGCTATTGAATTCAAAATTTTCTGTGTTCCCTTACCACTCCTGTGGTTTATGCAATGTAGAACTATTTTAAGAGAAGGGCAAGAAAAGAAATGTTTCTTGCATCTATGGACAACCTGAAACACGTTAGTTCAAAGCATAACCAGTGGTATCAACTACAGATGAAATAGACCATCCTACTTTTTTCCAGTCTTCACAAGGCAACCCTGCAGCAGCAGTAGAAGCAACACAAGTTGCTCTATTTTCTGTTTTTCAATTAGGAGGGTCTACTGGTTTTCCTGTAACATTTTCAGGAGCCACATCAATCCCAAAACTCTCCTGGAAGTTACATTGGTATCCTCTTCAAGTACAGACCTGGCCTGTTTATGTACTTTTACTTTGTTGTCTGTTTAAGAAACAGTAAATAGCAAACAATAAGTTTGAAGACACAATTAGACAGCTTCTTTACTATCCTGGAGTGTAAACAAAGCTCCTATTCCATTATTATGTGCCAACACCAATATAAATGCAACATAAGCCCAAGATTTTTATTCCAGAAGGCCGGCCCCTAAAGGCACCATCTCCTTTCAAGACCAATTAGTTGTGCAGTCTAAGGTGCATTCCATATTATTATCAGAATAAAATATATTCAAGGACTTAATCGTACTAGTGGATAGCTTGCCCATTGAATCACATTTCCACAGACTTTGCTGTGCCTGAAAGATAAGAGAACAATATTTTCTCGTAACTCCACATTGAACGTCTTGTAGCTCCATTTGGTAGTGGAATGGATAACTAGAAAGAAGTTGCATGAAAGATGGTTGAAAAATGAAAGGGAAGTCTTTCTTCCATTTGTCTAGTTGAGACAGAAGGGATGAGGAAGGCAAGGGTCTATCTTTTTTAACTTTTCACCCTTATGTATTACTATGAACGTGTCATTGGAAGAGACAAATGCAAAAAAAAAAAAGGTATCGTTATTTGCTTTCCCTCGTTCAATTTTTGATAGATTGAAAATGGTGGGCCAAGGCGAATATGCTCTCTTGCCATGTTTGCACTCCCTTCCCTTTTCCTTCTAACTAAACAAAGAATCTGTCTCCATTAAGGGAGGAAAGCATGTTCTCTTTCACCTCTGTTACCAGAAAACGCTAATATCCTAGCGAATTACGTATTGGTACGCACGTTTTGAAACGTGGTACACTTCCATTTCAAAATGGTAAATTTAGCAATCCCAAGCGATCCCAAAAGTTTTTTTTTTCAATATATGTCCTTAAATGTTACCTTAGGAGGAAAAAAATCAAATATAATGAACTAAAATCTAAGGCGAGTTAAGTTTTGATAAGAAAAAAAATCAAAAAAATGGGTTATAATACTCATAGAAAATATTACATTTTATTGGAGGTCTAATAATTTAAAAAAATTACTCTAGAAATACCTTAAATTCTTAAGTATAATATATACAAGTCTACCCTTATTGTACCACATTTTAGAGCATGTGGCGTACCATGTTCCAGTTCCTGTTCCCATTTCACATACCAGAACGATCCACGTTCCAGGTAACATAGGTCTTAAGCCAGCCATCAAGTTCCAAAATCTAGAGGAAAGAAAGAAAAGTTAAAGTTAATTATGTTACTTTATTTTACCATTATATTGACATGAAGATGTTTGTGTGGCAACGATATGAAAGTAAAACATATCCTTTTCATCTCTACTCACTTTTGGGCAGATTGAAAATGGTAGGACACTAGAGATTTGCCTACACTTCACTTCTCCTTTCCCTTCCCCTTCCCCTTTCCCTTTCCCGCTAAATGGAGGAAACTGTTTCCGTCCGCTTCATTTATTTCATTGCGCATTAAGGAAAGGAAAGGGGAAGCTTAGGGATGTTCGTTCATTTTACCATCATAATGTCAAATATTGATAACATGGTTTTTGAAGGACGAAAAACAAAAAAGTAAGAGATAATCTACTCATTTGTTCCTCTCTTTCCACTTCTAGGTAAAATGAAAAATGGTAGCCAGGATGGACTTGCTCACCTTCAAGTTTTCCTTTTTCCTTCCCCTTCAGTTTCTACAAAACTAACAATACTCCTTTATCCTTCCCACTTTCCTCCTCATAATGTTCCCTCATATCAAACAAAGCCCAATGACAAAAAGAACTTAAAATATAAAATAAGAAAGAATCCTTACTCGTGTGTTACCATCACTTGCATTACTGGAAACATCAATACTGGATTCTACCCTGCACATGTCAGATCCAGAAGTCTAGGTTAGATCCAACAGAGCAATGATTAAAATGGGACTCGTCCAACTGAGATACTAACTTAAAGCATTAAATGAAGCATGACTTCAACTCATGCACCAAGGGCATTGGAAGCACTGTTGGAAATTAAACTTTTAGTAGCGTTTAAAAAATGCTGCTAATTGTTTTTGTGACGTTTAGTACCAAACGCCGAAGATGCAGTCGTCGCTGTAACTCTATGACACTTTAAAAGCGTCGCTATATTAGTATAGGCGGCGTTTTTTAAAACGCTGCTAAATGTGCTGCATAACGGTACAATGACTTCACACCACATTTAGCGACGTTTTAAAAATGCCGTGATAGATATTTTCTATTTTAAAAATATAACCGTTAGTATTCTATAGTGGCGTTTAAAAACGCCGTTATAGTTTTTTCTTTTCTTTTCTTTTTTTAATAAAAAAATAGTACTAATTCTGTGAGATTTAACTAAAAAAAAATACTTGTTATAAAGATAAAAAATATTCAATATATTGACTAAATTTAGGTAAACATAATACTAGATCAATTCATGCTTCTCAATATGCAAAAATATTTCAATTCCAAGATGAAATAAAGTAAAACTAGTGCCTAGTGGTAAGTTGAAAGTTATTACAAAACAAATCGGCACAAAAGATACAATTCAAACTAATTATACATACATGTACTGTGAAAACATCTACTAAGAAACAAAAATTCCCCATTCAAGAAGCTCTTTGCTCGTGTCATCCTTGTGAACAATCACTTCTATGAAGCACAAACAATCACTTCTATGAAGCACAAACAATCACTCTTAGCACCCATTGCTGTATCAATTGCATCGATGAGCTCTTCCTCGTAGAGCACCTGCAACAGTAAGTGAAAGAAATGGTTTTTGTGATCAGCCATCATCCTATTTAATGCATCAAAGCGAATGCAATTAAGCTTCCCAACTCACCTTTGCTGTCCAGCACTTGCTTTCACCATTGTGGATTGCATCGACCAAACCAGTGTAGTTCCAATTCTTGATCACATTGTAAGGCCCGTCATGGATCTCAACTTCTATGGTGTATCCCCCATTGTTTATAAGGAAGATGATGGTCCTCTGTTCACATCTCAACATTGTTGACACATCTTGTGCTGTCACTCGCCAAGCATTCACCAAAATAGGTGTTAACAAGGACAAATTCAGAGCAGTGAATCCCATTACTGCAATGCAATCCCTTAAGTTTCTAATCCTTCATATTATGCATGCTAGGTGACATAAGATGAAGATATACAAACATCAACGTAGTGTCATCCTTGTGAACAATCACTTCTATGAAGCACAAACAATCACTCTTAGCACCCATTGCTGTATCAATTGCATTGATGAGCTCTTCCTCGTAGAGCACCTGCAACAGTAAGTGAAAGAAATGGTTTTTGTGATCAGCCATCATCTTATTTAATGCATCAAAGCGAATGCAATTAAGCTTCCCAACTCACCTTTGCTGTCCAGCACTTGCCTTCACCATTGTGGATTGCATCGACCAAACCAGTGTAGTTCCAATTCTTGATCACATTGTAAGGCCCGTCATGGATCTCAACTTCTGTGGTGTATCCCCCATTGTTTATAAGGAAGATGATGGTCCTCTGTTCACATCTCAACATTGTTGACACATCTTGTGCTGTCACTCGCCAAGCATTCACCAAAATAGGTGTTAACAAGGACAAATTCAGAGCAGTGAATCCCATTACTGCAATCCCTTCAGTTTATAATCCTTCATATTGTGCATGCTAGGTGACATATGATGAAGATATACAAACATCAACGTATCCAATACAATATTCATAAGATTAGGAGAATTTACAAAAATCAAAACTATATTATATACAATGAAGATTGAAATGTATGCATAATTACCGGGAAGCTACCATCACCAATGGAAGCAATCACTCGCTTATTCCGTACAACCTGTGCATATCTAAGAGTCGTACCTACAGCCCAACCAATTGATCCATATTGCATCTGGAGCTCATACCTACAAAACCCAATTTCATAATATTTTTTGTATCATAAAGCATAATAAAACCAAAAAAAAATGCAACATTCTCTCCACAACTTACCCGCATCCCTTAGGCAACTTTAGGTAGCGTTTGGTAGAGTTTTCTAAATATGATTTGAGAATAGAGTTGTATTTTGAGTTTGTGAGTTTTAGAATTATGATTTAAGTGTAGAAAATTTGTTTGGTTATGAGTTTTGAAAAGAGTTTTGAATTGAGTTTTTAATGTTTGGTGTGACATGTGAAATAAGAAAATTTGTTTGGTTATGAGTTTTGGAAAGAGTTTTGAAAATTTAATTTAAATTGTTATAACTCATAATCAAAAACACTACTCAAAACTCTATCGAAAATTTTGATTAATAAGCAAACTTTTTTTAAAATTCAATTAAAAAAATTAATTATTAACAGAAAATAACATTAATCAATTTTTTTAATTAAAAATATTACAAAGGCAATAAATTTTTTTTCAAAATGAATATTCAATTATTGATTTAAAATAACTTTTGATTGTATATTTGGTTTGAATTTTTTAAAAATATTTTTTAGTTAAAATATTTTTATATTTTTAATAATTACTGTTACAAATTATTTGCTATTTATTGTTTTGTTATTTTCAAATAAATGGTCAAAAAAATTATCAAGTATTATATATGTGAGAGTCAAACAAAAATTAGAATATTATTTTGTTAATATCTATATAGTTTACCATACACAATTCAATTTTATTCATATTTTTTTTATTCACTTTTAACAGAAAATTAGTCTACAATAGTACGAACACATATATGTATGTATGAAAGAGTTACTAAAAAAAAATTACTGTAATGCTCAACTGGCCAAATATCCAGAGGGATGTCCGGGGATATCCTGGGAGATGTCTTGGGATGTCCCATAGACTTTTAGAAAATTTAAGAACTGGGTGAAAAAGTTAGAAAATTTAAGAACTGGGTGAAAAAGTGAAAATTTTGCATTGAAAATTTATTTTGAAATAAACTTTTCCAAACATAAAATAAAAATGTATTTTAAAATATGCAGTTAAATTAATTTTTAAAAACTCTATCCAAACGTCTTATTATTCACGTGAAAAGGCGAAATTGTAATGGGAAAGTTGTACCAAACGTAGCCGTAATTTTTGCCAAAAAATCCACAAACTCAGATACCGACCGACCTGTGTGTGGCTCGACTTCCAAACCCGAATAAGTTCCGAACTCCCAGCTTCGTCCCTGCTCGTCGGCCAATCCAATTCTGTCCCCGTTGATCCAGTTCGCCAATGAAGTGCCGATCCGTTGCGTGTATATGGTCCGCCTCTCCTCCGCCGCACAGAGTCACCGCCGTCGCCGCCCTAAGCCAACCTCCCACTCTCTACACCGGCGGATCCGATGGCTCCATCGTCTGGTGGAACGTCTCTGCCACCGACTCCAACCAGGTAACCCTAACTGCCTTAACTAATTTTCACTACACGAATCTCACTTGTTTGTTACTATTCCTGAACCAGAGCTATGCATATATATATATATATATATATTTGTTCATATGAGTTTGTTGTTATACTCAATTTCACCGCTTTTTGTTTTTCTTAAGCTGTTAGGTTATTCTTTTTATGGCAATTGAGGTGTTAAACAAGGGGAAAATTGAAAGAAAAGGAGTTATTTTGAGTGGATTCTGCTTGTTTAATGAGAAAATGGGTTAATTTTTTTTTTCTTGGTTAGAGTCCTAGGAAAAAAGAAAAGAAAAGGTAAATTCATACTACATGCTGCTGTATTTACCGAGTTGTGGGGAGTCTAATGCGTTCTGGTGAGCATCTCCAATTCATCAACTTTTTCATCAAATTCAAATTTGATGAAATAGTGTGCTCCAGCTATATTCATCAAATCTGTATCAAATCACAGGGAAGGGAATTTTTTCACCAAATCAAGGATGAAACAAATCCTTCACCAAATTCCCAACAGTCATATTATTATTCAAATTTGGTGAAATTTTAAAAAGGATAAGGGTCAAAGATGATTTTCTTTAATAAAAAACGGTTAAAACACTTTTTTAGGATGAGTTTGTAATTAAAAAAAAGATTTCTTGAAAAAAAGGAGAAAGGATTGGAGAAAGTTTCACTCCAATTTTGATGAAAAAAAGAGAGCAGGGGTTGGAGATGCTTTTCTAAGTTATCAAAATTCAAAATTACCTTGATTTCATATTTATAGAATAAATAAATAAAAATTGCCTTGATTTTACACGTTACCAGAACAACCAAACAAAGGTTACAGGAAAAATAAGTTTAATCATCAAATTCCATTTTATGTAGAGTACGTTTCAGTCTGATAATGTTCTCAATTTGCCAGGAAATTAAACCAGTTGCTTTGTTGTGCGGCCACGCTGCCCCCATAGCTGATCTTGGGATTTGTTTTCCAACAGTATACTCAGGAGATGTAAAGATTGATCATTTAAGTAATGTCTCAGCGAATTCTAATTCAGTTGATTATGGTGCACTAATCAGTGTGTGTACCGATGGTGTATTGTGTGTTTGGAGCAGAGGCAGTGGACATTGTAGGTGCAGAAGGAAAATGCCACCATGGGTGGGGAGTCCCTCTTTAATACGGTCATTTCCTGAAAACCCAAGATATGTTTGTGTTGCTGCTTGTTTTGTTGATGCTGTCAATTCAGTTGACCACCAGTTGTCTCCTGAGGGGGGTGAGGCTTCCATTGATAGAGACCCGCTACACCGTAAACCTTCCAAGTGTACAGTTGTAATTGTTGATTCATATACTCTTACTATTGTCCAAACCATTTTTCATGGTAATTTATCCATTGGGCCTTTGAGATTCATGTCTATAGTTTCACGAGTTGAGGATATGGAAAAACAGTCAGTGCTCCTTGGTGATTCATATGGTAAGCTACAATGTGTGCCTATACTGAAGGAACCCAACTCAGACAGTGAAACTGGGACAGCATTGCAAAAAAATTCTTATAATTTGGAAATGACTGATTGGGTGGAGGGTTCCAGTGAGGGGTTACAGGTTGTGACTACCAGAGGGCAGGTTTTAGCTCATGTATATAGAACCTACTGCATTTTTAGGTTAGTGGCCAGTGGTAATACAATTGGAGAGATTTCTTTTGTTAATAATAATCAACTTTGTCTTGAAGAGGGTTCTGCTCAATTATATGTTATAGGGGGCATGTTTCTTGAGAGGGATGAATCTAGGAAGATACTGAAAACCCAGGAATTCCATGACAGGTTTGCAGAAAACTTTGCTGTTTGGAATAATAGAGGTTTTGCAGTTGTGTATAGTATAACATATTCAGACAGCATTTTCGATTTCGAGCTTCTATCTGTGATACCTGCTGTGACTTGTCCCATTGATGTGAGGTTATCAATTTATTTTATTCAATTGAGTTGTTATCTTCTTCGTATTGAATCAATTTGCTTTCATGTTGAAGAATCTTTGCTGTGGAAACCCCATGTCACAACCTGGTTACTGCCTCAGCAGCATGATAACAACTTGAATTTGCCTCAGCAGTGCAAAATGGTTGGGGAAGGTAGATTTTTTGTTGACTGGATTTCAAGCTTAACTTCTCCTAATGAAACTAAGGCCCTAAGGCACGATGCTGGCGCGGAACTAATAGGCCAAGGGACTCAGTTCTCCCAGAAAAATTGTGTGCCTTGTCCCAATGGAGATAATATACATGCAACTGATGGAAAGTATTGGTTTTCCCAAAAGGGACGACTTGTATCTTCTTCAATGATCATTTCTGAGTCCTACTACACTCCTTATGCTGCTGTATACGGATTTCACAGCGGTGAAATAGAAGTTGTACATTTTAATATCTTTTCTGGGGGATTTGATTCTTACGGTAGAAGTCAACATCATGAAGTCGATTCAAATGTATCAAAACAATATTTTTTAGGTCACACAGGTGCTGTATTGTGTTTGGCTGCACATTGGATGGTTGGCACTGCCAAAGGATGGAGCTTCTGTCGGGTTTTAGTGTCCGGGAGCATGGACTGTACAATCCGTTTATGGGATCTTGATTCTGGCAATCTCATCACAGTGATGCACCATCATGTAGCTCCAGTACGCCAAATAATTCTCCCCCCACCTCGAACTGACCGTCCATGGAATGATTGTTTTCTTTCTGTTGGGGAGGACTTTTGTGTCACTCTTGTTTCTCTTGAGACTTTGCGTGCGGAGAGAATGTTTCCTGGACACCCACACTATCCTTCAAAAGTTGTATGGGATGGTACAAATGGTTATCTGGCATGTCTCTGCCAGAACCATTCAGGAACATATGATGCACTTGATGTTTTATACATTTGGGATGTAAAGACGGGTGCTCTTGAGCGTGTTCTCCGTGGTACAGCTTCTCATTCAATGTTTGATCATTTTTGTAAAGGCATCAACACGAATTCACCATCCGGTGCTGTATTGAATAGAAATACTTCGGCTTCTTCATTACTTCTTCCCTTAATTGAAGATGCTAACCTTTCACAATCTCATTCCAAACACTTAGGCAAGGGGGCCTCCTCTTCGTCAAATATGTTACCAAGTATAACAAATATGACTGAGGCCAATGCTTCCCAAAAGCATTCTAGTAAAGTTAACTCTGCAAAACTATCTTCATCGATGCCATCAATCCTTCGGAGCAACAAGCATCCCATCAATTGTACTAGTCCATTTCCTGGAATTGCAGCTCTGAGTTTTGACCTTGCGTTATTAATGTCTCCTTTTCAGAACCACGTGAACTTCAAAGATGGTGGTGAGAAGAGAAGGAATACCCATGTGAATGAACATGGAGCTAAAATGTCCAAAGATATGGGCTACGAGCAAGATAAAAACCATGTGAAGGAACTGGGGGCTGAGAAACCAAGTCCGCACCATGTGACGACAAATGGGACCATACTCAATGGTTCTGATTTACAAGGGACCTCAACTGATACTGCTGTGGATGATGAGTGGGTTCGGTCACTTGAAGGATGTTTTCTTCAATTTAGCTTGTCATTTTTGCACTTGTGGAATGTGGATATTGAACTTGATAAGTTGCTCATGACTGAAATGAAACTTAGGAGACCAACAAATTTCCTTCTTGCTTCTGGTTTGCAAGGGAACAGAGGATCTTTGACATTGACATTTCCTAGTTCAAGGGCTGCTCTTGAGGTACATTGGGTTAACTTAATTGCACGTTGGAACATGTTCTCTTGACTTCTTGTGTGCCCATTTCTAAATAGCTTAAGCTTTTGGGTGAATTGGTGATCTACCATGGTATCAAAGCTCAAGTTGGAGGTCTTGGGTTCAAGTTTTTCCATTTGCGTTCTCTCTCTCATTTGCTTTCTTTCTCCTCTCTATATATAGATGTTTGCATCTTCACGTGCAAGATGAGGTTGCATATGAGGGAGGGTGTTGAATAATTTGATATACATTGTTGGGCCATTTCCTATGTTACACGGACTCTTCAAAATAAATCAAATACCCATGTTGGACACCCGACAATCGGGCAAGGGTATAGGATATGCGTCGGATACTTTTCAACAGATACTTCTCATATAATTGTATATAACACTACTATTATATGTACATATTGTTGCATAATTGCTATAAATGTCTTTTTGACACTGTAAGCTGCATATAGCGCCATTTTATCTCATATACTTGATTAAAAATATAAAAATATGACATTTTTTTGCCGAGTCCGCGTACCCTCATATTTATGGTTTGATGAGTCCGATCTCTAGATACATATCCGCACCCGATACCCGTATCTGAATCCATGTAACATAGGCCATTCCCTAATAGATTAAGCTTTTGTGTGAATTGGGGATCTAAACAGTATTAAATCCTGATACATTAACGGTAACATTTCAGCTCTGGAAATCATCATCAGAGTTTTCTGCAGTGAGGTCACTAACCATGGTTTCCCTAGCCCAGCGCATTGTTAGCTTGTCTCATTCTTGTTCAGCTGCCAGCAGGTATCACAGTTCTGCACCATTTTCTTTTTTGGCACACAATAAACCAATTTATTCTCATTTTAACTATATGCGTATCAAGCACCAGTAGAGAATTTTTGAAATTTAGGATAAATTTGGTCTAGGAAAGGTATTTCAACCTCTTGTATTTGAAATAGCTAGAAATCGAAGGAAGATTAACGTCTGAGATAGCTCATCAGAATCTGAAAACCTCATCCGGGTTCCTAATGAGTACCTCCTCCTATGCAGGTGTGCATCACGAGTTTTTTTTTTTATTTTTAATCTTCAGCCTTTGTTCCTTTGGAATTTATGTTCTATTGACTATCATCACGAATTAGTCATGAAGTTTGATTGATGAAAATTTTAGTTTAATATAATATACTTAGAATTTATTCACACAAAATTTAACTATCTTCCCATTACACGTGTAATGAAATTTATCCATTCCATTGATTAATTTAGTTGTATCTAAGTCTTCAACATCATTTATCATGAGAAGATTGGTACCATCTCATCCAAGTGATTCGGCTGTAGAAATTTTCATACGAAATTGATACATGGTTGTTTTCAGTCCCTTGCACATGTGGATCGTATGACACTGGAACAAATTTTGTCTTACCATCCATCTTTCCCCCTGTTATTGTATTAATCATATCTAATTTGTTTCTCTTACCAAAATAAATAAGATAGCTTATGTGCAAAAATGTTATTGGCACATGTTATATGAACAACGTAGGGTAGCTTCACCCAATGGTAAAGGGTTCGAGTCAAGGAAATAACCTCTCTAGGAATGGGGGTAAGACTGTGTACATCTTCCCTCCCTATACCTCGTTTTAGCGGAAGCCTTGTGCATTGGGTCGCCCTTGTATATGAATAATTTCCTAACTGCAGTTTCTAGGCAATAATTATAGTGGGCTCGAGTCAAGGAAATAACCTCTCTAGGAATGAGGGTAAGACTCTGTACATCTTCCCTCCCTATACCTCGTTTTAGCAGAAGCCTTGTGCATCGGGTCGCCCTTGTATATGAACAATTTCCTAACTGCAGTTTCTAGGCAATAATTATAGTTTCTTGACATAGTTTGTCTTCTGTGTAGTGCCTTGGCTGCATTTTATACTCGGAATTTCTTAGAGAAAACTCCAGATGTGAAGCCACCTTTGCTCCAGGTAACACGTCATGCTAATGGTTTTTGTTTACCTGAATCTTTGATACTAACTTCCGGATTAAATATGGTAACTTTTTGTCCAAATTGCTTTTTCATTGCCCCTGTGGCACTTGCAAATTTGAAGAAAAATGATATATTGGTTACAGATTGTCTTGATGTGGTTAGATTTATTTTGTGCCATTCTTTATTGCATCTATATTATAGAAGGGAGGAGAATTCTTGCTAAAAGACAATTCTGATGTATTTTGACAATTTTTCTTCCTTATCTTTTGTGTCAATAATCAAAGGCTAACACAAATCTTGTTATGGACCCGGATTTACCTTTATGTAATGGCCTAAGAAGCCTGAACATTTTAAGAAGGTGGCATGTCTGTGCCGGACACTAACACTCTTAGGATACTTGTTAACGTGTTGCATACACATTTGAACATGTCCTATTATTATTATTATTATTTTTAGATTTAGACATACCAGTCAAGCTAGCAGCCTGTGGTCTTCTTATTTGTCAAACTGATCTGCATTTGCAATAATTTGATGTGCTTGATTGTCTGATATTACTGTTTTACAGCTATTGGTAAGTTTTTGGCAAGATGAAAGTGAACATGTAAGAATGGCTGCACGTTCTTTATTCCATTGTGCTGCTTCACGAGCTATTCCACTTCCCCTATGCAGTCAAAAAGCAATTGAGCATGAAAATCTTCTGGCGTCTCTAAATGAAACTGGAGTAAATGAACAGAAAATTTTCAACACAGAAAAAACATCTGGAAGCAGGTTAAAATCTGATGGCATGCTGGAAACCCAAGGGCTCTCTCGGGCTGAGGAATCTGAAATACTTGCTTGGCTAGAATCATTTGAAGTGCAAGACTGGATTTCTTGTGTTTGGGGAACAAATCAAGATGCAATGACATCGCATATCATTGTTGCTGCAGCATTGGCCATTTGGTATCCTAGCCTTGTCAAACCAAGTCTTGCTGTGCTGGTTGTTCATCCATTGATGAAGTTGGTTATGGCCATGAATGATAAATATAGTTCCACTGCTGCGGAGCTTCTAGCAGAAGGTATGGAGAGTACATGGAAGGCATGCATTGCTTCTGAAATACCTCGTCTGATTAGTGATATGTTCTTCCAAATAGAGTGTGTTAGTGCACCTGCCAATTCATCAGCACAAAATCCAGCTGTACCTATAAATATTCGGGAGACTTTGGTTGGGATTCTTCTTCCAAGTTTAGCAATGGCCGATATACTGGGGTTTCTAAATGTGATAGAAAGCCAGATTTGGTCTACTGCATCTGATTCCCCTGTTCATGTAGTTTCTCTAATGACTCTTATAAGGTTCATACGTGGTTCTCCAAGAAACATAGCTCCATATCTTGATAAGGTTTGTAAATCTAAGTTATATCAGACAAAGTACTCTATGTTCATTTGGAAGCATAAAGTAATTTAATTTGCCCGTAAAAGATTTCTTCTAGCTCGTGAAATTTAGGCCCTTCCTACTTCTTGTTATAAATATTGCATAATAAATTATCATTTTCTGTTACGATATAACAGTATTCACGGTTCTTTGTTTTTCTATTTTTTTTATATATTTTTATATTCTGTTTTCAAGAACCAAAGTGTTTGCAGTGTTACTATCTCTAACACTTGGACAGATTTGCAGGTGGTTAATTTCATTTTACAGACCATGGACCCTAGCAACTCCGTCATGCGCAAAACATGCCTTCAAAGTTCAATGGCAGCTCTGAAGGAAGTTGTACGCATATTTCCTATGGTAGCACTGAATGACACATCAACACGATTGGCTGTTGGCGATGCCATTGGGAAGACCAATCATGCTATCATCCGGGTATATGACATGCAAAGGTAACAAATAATAAAAAATAATAGTAATAATTCACGGGGTGTATTTGGGGTTGATTGGTTTCCAACTCAACCTACTATCGTGTCATTTTGTTTTTACACTTGACTCAATGAACTATTGTGTTAAATTAAAGGCCAAAATGTTTGGGAATAGAAATTATGGATTTTGGGTGTTGACCGAAAAGAAAAGAAGTTCAGGGTTGGTTGTGGTTAGAACTTAGAACACTAAAATGAAATACAGAAAACTACAGAAGAAAAAAGAGAAACAGATTATAGGAATTTCACCTGGATTCCTTTATGTGCCAACCTGTATGGTTAGAATTGGTAGGATAGCACTGCACACCATACAATCTCAACTTCTCAAAACTCGATTCCCTTGTCCTACTATTAGTAAGACTTGGGTTACTAACTTGCTTAAGACTTGACTCACTATCTTGTACTCTTTTCTTAAAATTGCTTCTTTGTTTATTATGGGGGCCACATCCCTGGTTTTAAGCTTCCAATATTTGTTTGACTAACCAATGGATGTGCATCGATGATGTTTCTGAAGTCAAAAAGCTTATCCATCCATTTGAAAATCTTCGTTGACTGCCCAGATAATGTTAGGGAAAAGTGAATGAAATATAAGCTAAATTTTTTCTCCATTTCTCTCTTTTTTTCCTAAATCCCTATCCAAATCCATGATCCAACACAGCATTAATGTACTTCTCATCTGAGTGCCATTAAGTTCATGCATTTCTTTTGATTAGCAATTAATGACGACGGGGTTATAACTGCTTTTAACTCTCTGTATATGTCTTTATTTTCCACTTCAGCATGACAACAATAAAAGTTTTGGATGCAAGTGGACCTCCAGGACTTCCAAGTCTGCTTGGAGGAGCTTCAGAAGTGGTGGTAATCACTGCCATTTCAGCTTTAAGCTTTTCACCAGACGGAGAGGTACATCTGATTAATCCACAGATCCATGAATTCTTCTTTGTCTGCTGCTGGTTTCTGATGCTAGCAGCCTAGCATAATGCATGTTTTTTATTCAAATCATCATTGGATGTGCACATGCATTCACTTGGCATATAATTAGAGTGGGAGCGGCTTATAGCTGGCAGAATTTGTCCCAAAACCTGCTTTATAAGTTTTCTCATTGAAATATAGACAGATTTCTGGCTTCAGTTCATGCTCAAAGTTTTGGAGCCAAGAAATATGACATGTCCCTAAAAACTAAGTTGATTCACTATTGAATGCCAGTTCATTCAATTGACTAATATTATACTAGTTCAGGATGTGATCTAGCACTCATGTCTACATGTGTTCAGGTGATCTATTGATGTCTGTATATTCATTCCAATGTTATTGTTATTTTGGTTTTACATGGCTGGATCTTCCTTTTATATTCATATTTTATTTTTATGTTTTAAAGAAAGTTAAACTAATCGCCTTTATGTTTTTACTTGATTGAACTATTTGAATCAAAATTGTTGTTTGTTAGTTTATTTATTCTTATAAATTTTGGGTAAATGCACCTACTTGGCACCATTGCCATATGTGATTGAACTGCTTCAAATTTCAATCCAACTGAATTCTGAGTCCATTGTTAATCTCATAGTTAACACACAGCTTGCACCATGATGTGTACCCACTGCAGTCCTCATAGCACATCCACCTCAGAAATGAAAAGAAAAGAAGTTTTTCTCCATCACTTGACACACTGCGTATATTTTACTCTTTTACTGTATCAAATCCAAATTGGTTTACAAGCTTTCCTCACGGTAATATTTATTTTTTCTGAGTATATTCAGTTTTTTCTACTGCTTTCTATTAGCAGTATACTATCAGAACTTTCCATTTTTTCAACTTTTCATACAAAATTTTTACTGACTGCATTCCAACATACCATTTCTCTTTCTATATCTTTATGCTAATATGAAAGCTTAGAAGCCTTTTAAGTAAAATAGTATTAGTATGCAATGAGGGATGAGGTCCCAAACTGGTAAATTGTCTTTATCTAGTTTCTCAGACATGCCTTTCAAATTGTAGGGGTTAGTTGCTTTTTCTGAGCATGGGTTAATGATCAGATGGTGGTCACTGGGATCTGTGTGGTGGGAGAAACTCAGCCGAAACCTTGTTCCTGTTCAGTGCACTAAACTAATTTTTGTTCCCCCGTGGGAAGGATTCTCACCGAACTCCACTAGGTCAAGCATAATGGCAAGCATAATGGAGTCTGATAGACATGGCAATGCAAAGGTAAAAATTTTCTTCTTTTTTGATAGATACAGAGGTGAATTTTCTCTATTTACTGTTACATTATTTTCATTTCAATGAGGTGGGATGGCACAAGTTTCTTGTTTTAACAAATTGATTGAAGACTTAATTGCTTGTTAGGTGAGTTCCATAAAACTGCCCAAGTGGGAACACCCTTGTTTATGACTGTTCATTGTTCATGCCACTATGCTGAATCTGAACACTCCTATAGTTTATGCTCAGCCCTGTTAGAATGAATCTTGGAAAGTATCCGTTTTGTTTGTCTGACAGGATACAAGTACACATTTTTTTCATCTTAATAAAAACCTACCTTCATTTTCTGTTTCTTGTTTGTAGGAGAATGCAGGGGGTGTGAGTGATGTTGATAGGTTGAAACTTATGATTCATAATCTTGATCTCTCTTATCGACTAGAATGGGTTGGTGAGAGAAAAGTACTTCTTACGAGGCTTGGCCATGAGTTAGGCACTTTTCCGTTGTAGTCATCATCCAGATTCTGATTTGGGGAAAATCACTACCCTTTGTGGGAATTCTGGTTTGGCAAAAGTTTTGATAATATTGCACTGTTTAACTTGCGTTATCTCAACAAGGAAGAATAAATTTGCACAATTATGCGAGAACTTCCCATGCAAAAGGGTCTTGTTCTCCTCGGCTTTGTCTGGTGATCTCAAGCTTCTGGTCTGCAGTTTTCATTTCTTTCTGAAGGTGATGGTGTGCAACTGCATCAGTAACAGCTCAAAACTCCTTGGTCAGTGCTTGCTTCCAGTTGATTTCTAATTTAAGCGATGTGCTCGTTCATTTTATTTCTTCCCTCATATATGAATATCGAGTGGCATTGAATCCTAACAACCGAGTTTGACCAGTTTCTTTACACTTCTCTAGATGGGTTTTGACATTCTTTTGAGTTTCTGTTTTGCCGAATAATATTTGATCTGTCAAAGTATTCAGGCTCTGCTGATTTGGTCTTGAGTCCAAAAGTTTTGGTTTTATTGTTCTTGTATTTTGTTCATCTCCGTACTATATATTTACCTTTTATGTCAGCAATAAGTCATGTTTCTCTGTTTGCAAGTGTTCTTTAGCTTATCTATGAACCTATTTACGAATTTCAGTGGTGCTATGTAAGATAATAGTGTACCCGAAATAAATATAAAAATACAAAACTAGGAGTAATAAAAGGAAAAAAAAGAAAAAAAGAAAAAGAACAGACCACACTTGAATCTGTTGCAATTTCTGCTGTGTTAATGGCAAAAACAAAGATGATTGGAAAATTAGATGCGGTTATGCGGCAATGAAACTAATTCTTCTTGTTAATATACAGCACACTCACACAGCTTCTTTATCATTTTCTCTTCACTTTCTTTCTTGATTTCTTTGTACAATGTTAGAGAGTGAACAAGTTAGCAGAGCTGTGAATGCTTCAAACTTTCATCATCCTGAAGTATACCGACATGGTTTTAGAATCTGGAAAGGAACTGAATTTGCTTTAGAAGAGGACTTAGGGTCTCCATAAGTTTCTCACAAGGATGGTTGTGAATGCCCTCGTATGTTGTCACAACGACACTTGTGTCCTTTGATAGCCGTTGGATTTGTTTCTTCACATTGCATGTATGATGTGTGCAGCGATAGTAGCTCCTTTTTTCAGTGTTAGATGAAAAATGAAAAATAAAAAAAGTTAGGGATATGATCTGTGAGAAAGAAAGACCAACATAAAATGAGAAATTTCACCTACTTATTCTGGAATTTCACATTGGAGGGTAGCGCAAATTTTCTCACACCAAACAAGAGTCTAAAAATGTCCTTACCAAGTATTTGACCCTAGTTCTAACTATTGAGCAAGCACATATTCTGCCGAGTTAATTGTTGTTTCTGATTGTTATAAACCATGGTGAGAGTTGGGGCCTTTGAAGGATTCCAAGTTTATAAACACAATGGGGGAAAGCAAAGCAAATTTTCAACAAAGTAAAACTGTTTTCCCTTTCATTTTATAAACAACTTTAACCAGTTATCTGTCATGGCTAACCAAACGAAGATGTTTTAAAAAAAGAAAAACAACAATATTACAAACCACCTTTGTCAATTCAGAATTTACCCTGAAAAATAAATCAATGTTTCAAATTCATTTTATTCATGGACTTCACACTTCATCATAATCTCTACCACACAAACCCATTCGGGGTAAATTATGGATTCCTAAGGGTGGGTTGATAGCATTTTTCAAAGAAAAAATCTATATCCATTTTCAACTTATTTTCCTAATTTAATAACTAAACAAAAGTAAGGAAATTAACTTGTTTCACCTTTTTTTCATTTTCATTTTTTTTTTCGCTTTTTATATGCATACACATTGAGGTTCAATAATAGTATACAGTTTTTTCTTTTTTGAATTAATTTTTATTCTATGTATTTTTTCTGTACATGTAGCAGAACTGATAATAGTATGTACCTGGGGTGGGTGTTGTTCTTGACAGCTTTCTGCCCGTATTTTCGCCATCTATATCCATCATCAAGAACATCCTCAGAACTCCTAGTATGAAAAGAAACCCTAGGTGGAATGGCTTTCTTGCTCTTACTGGCTTTCCCTCTAGTAGAATTTTTTTCACAATTCTCTCCTTCATTTGCACTCCTACTAGTAGGCATTATAGACGATACATTTGGAAGCTGAAGATCACCATTTGTGATGGAACCAGTGAGGAGGAGGCTAACCCAGTCAATGTCGACACCGGTTTGAGGGTTTTGTAATATGGGTTGGTGGTGCAGTGGAGGAGGAAGGTGCAATGAGGGTGGTGGAAATGGTGGTGGTGTGAAGAGGTAGGGGATGTTGTTTGAGGTTGGAGGTGGTGGCTGAACTTCTTCTCCCATGAGGGCTCACTAGCTAGGGACTAGGAATTAATTGTGTAAGAATGTTTTGAGAATTTATGTTTTTGAAGCTCAACGGTGGTGGTAGGTGAGAGGAGGTTGGACAGTCCCATGCAGAGAGAGAGAGAGAAAGAGAGAGAGTTTTCTTCTAAATATAGGGAGACCCTGGCTTGCACCCATGATAAAAACCAACAACACTTCACCTACTTCTGTTCAACTGCCCTATGAACAAGAGATAGGAGTGCCCAAAATATGTCGTTATCACCAAAGCTTGTAAATAAGGGATAGTTACTGAGGTAAATCTATTTACTTCAAGCGGGATTCCAAGTTAGGTTTGGTCTTGATTAATTATGCCAAGTCCAATCAGTTCAGAAATCATTAGGAATTGTTATTTGATATACTTATCTCTACTCGAGAATCCATTGCAATTGGAGAATACCATTTGTAAATATCACTAATTGTTCGCAATTGGAGAATACCATTTGTAGATATCATTAATTGTTCTAAAAAGTTATTTTAAATGAGTTAGTTGGATTGCAATTTAACATAGTATCAAAACCAAGTTTAGAGTGGCCTTATATACCAAGTCTTCGTCCGAGGTTTATTTCTCACATTTAAGCAATTGGTCATAATTGATTAAGAATTAAAATTGACGTGATGATTCGATAAGACCCAAAATGAACTCCTATACTTAAGAATCTCTCTCACTCTCTGTCATATGGAGGAAGCTTAATCAATCCCATGGTATGGTTCTATAAGTATTTTGTTCAAGGTAGAAATCAAGTAAAAAAAAGTACAAGGCTTATAGATTGTTAACCAACTATGCCTATAGTCAAGAATCTCTCTCACTCTCTATCATATAGAGGAAGCTTAATCAATCCCATGGTATGGTTCTATAAGTATTTTGTTCAAGGCATGATTATTGGTAGAAATCAAGTAAAAAAAAGTACAAGGTTTATAGATTGTTAACCAACTACTGGGGTAACTTGAGGCACAAGACCAATCAACTGCTGTTGTGGTGGTTTAGAAAAAAATGCATGACCATTAAGCCACGTCAGCTGGCAAAAACACATGTTAATGACTTCTTGTTTTCAATCTAAGCAAATAAATATTATAATGCAGACATATATACATACAACTTGTTTGATCATTATCATGAATGTATTGTTTTGTATGGGGGCTAAAACTAAGGGGTTGTTTGGTAACTTCCAAATAAGTCATATTTTTTTTTTATTTATTTTTTAAATTTCCTTGTCTTTAGTGACATTTTTTAAAAATTATGTCAAATTTTTTTACTTTGATGCTATCAGAGTGTGGACATGGTGTCTTGTTTTCATTTTTCTTTTTATTGTTTTAATGTATTTCAAATTAGAGTAATTTGCGATAATTATTTAAGTCTGTTATCTTCTCTTACTATTTGATAGTAGTCAAAAATATTGCATTAGACATGTATATTATTAATATTGCCCATTACAATGAGGATGTTCATATCTCAAAATTCTTACATGATCCAATAGTAAAAGATATATTGGGACAAAAAAATAAAAAATAAAAAATTAAAGATAAAGATACCTGACTTCAAGAAAATATATAATTTTGCGGAGAATTATAGCTCAATATTAATTTGAGAACGAAAATATTTATATAAATGGATAGTTTGTATTGAAATCTCCAAGAACAGGCTTTAGTGATCATCCCATGCATCACAATAATAATAATAATGTTAGATATCATATATTGAGAATATAAAATAAATAACAAAATTACTCATCTCTTTAATAGTTTAAGTTTTTAGAATTATTATTATTTTTTTTCTTTCCAGCAAAAGTAGAATTTATTGATGTAAAGTGTTACATCAAAGTTTTTAAATGAGTTAGTAACTAATAATTCAATATGATATTAAAGCAAATAATATATCATGTGTTCAAATTTCAGTACTATAATGATAATTGTATATTTATTTCAGTTAATATTACTACTTTTGTTGTTTGAATTTGTAACTTTTCGTTTGTTTGTTTGTCTTTTTTTATTTTTATTTTTTTTCTTTGGTTTATTTGAATCTCAGGGAACCCATAATACGAAGCTTTTACATTTCTACATATCACTAAACAAAAAATATAAAATCAACTTAAAAAAGAAATAACAAGGAATAAGCCATGCTGTATCTATACTTTGACTTAGAAAAGTGGTTAACATATATATATATATACTAGCGTATACCCGTGCCTAAAGGCACGATGTAAATAATTTTAAGATGAAAATGCAGTTATAATTTATACGTATTATGTTGAAATTTATGAAGTTTGTGCCATTTTTTGATAAAAATACTGAAAAAATATATTGAAATATTTTTCTTCTTAAAGAACTTATAACAATTTTGCTCGTATTACTCGCTCTACAAAACTCAAATAAAATAACAACTTCCCCTAATCTTAATAAATATATTACACAGCAAATAAAATGTTAAATAAATTTTTTTGAGTGTTAATTTAACTTTTTTGTTGCAGGAAGATCAACTAAATAAATCACCCTTATTTTCTTTTTAAATAGCTCCAAACAAACAATCCCTTCCCCCTCTCTATGTCTCTCTCTCCCCCCCTCTCTCTCTCTACATTTTTTGCGAAACCCATAATCAAACTCACATTTTCTGAGTCAACCCAACATTTAGAATATATGTTTTTTAACAATTACATTAAAATGATAAATTAAAACTGGAGCACAATATAACCGTCTAAATTTGAACTTTTCTCTTTGTTAACTGACTTCAATTTTATAGAAATGAAATTGAAATCAAAATCACACGACAAATATATTACATTTGAATGGTACAACAAAATAAATAAAATGTTAAATAATTTTTTTTGAGTGTGAGTTTAATTTTTTTGTTGCAGGAAGATCAACTAACTAAATCACCCTTAATTTCTTTCTAAATAGCTCCAAACAAACAGTTCCTTCCGTATCAGACTAATTTGTACAACACATAGCACTAACCACAAACCAAGTCCCAAATAACCTCTCTCTCTCTCTCTCTACATTCTTTGAGAAACCCTTAATGAAACTTACATTTTCTGAGTCAACCCAGCGTTTAGAATAGATGTCTTTTAACAATCACATTAAAATGATAAATTAAAATTGGAGTACAATAATTGTCCAAATTCAAACTTTTCTCTTTGTTAATTGACTTCAATTTTATAGTGATGAAATTAAAACCAAAATCGAAATCCATTATAGTCATAAATATTTTGAAGTTCACCATGAATGACTTGGAAAGTCAAAACATAAATTTATGCCCAAAAATAAAAAATAAAAATAAAAAATTTCACCATGTAACAAAGCCATTTTATAAGCAATAATGAATAATTATTTCATAAAGGCAACTAAAGTAATACACACACATATACATTCACCAGAATTTTTGAAATACAACATAGAATATTATACTCCCTTAAAAAGGTGTCAAAAAAAAAAAAAAACACATAAACTCTCTTGCCATATTACACATAAATGTTAAAATGCCAAGTCTCTGAATTTTTTCTTTTAATCAGGAACTCTAGATGTTCAAAAAAAAATTATATGAAAAATATTTATCATTTGTACATTAAAATCACACAGCAAATATATTACATTTGAATGGTACAATTAAATAAATATATTACTCAACAAATAAAATGCTAAATAATTTTTTTTGAGTGTGAGCTTAAATTTTTTGTTGCAGGAATCACTCTTACTTTCTTTTTAAATAGCTCCAAACAAACAGTTTTTTCCCTATCTGACTAATTTGTACAACACAGAGCACTAACCACAAACCAAGTCCCAAATAGCCTCTCTCTCTACATTCTTTGAGAAACCCATAATCAAAATCACATTTTCTGAGTCAACCCAACGTTTAGAATAGATGTTTTTTAACAATCACATTAAAATGATAAATTAAAATTGGAGTACAATAATTGTCCAAATTCAAACTTTTCTCTTTGTTAATTGACTTCAATTTTATAGTGATGAAATTAAAACCAAAATCGAAATCCATTATAATCATAAATATTTTGAAGTTCACCATGTATGACTTGGAAAGTCGAAACATAAATTTATGCCCAAAAATAAAAAATAAAAATAAAAAATTTCACCATGTAACAAAGCCATTTTATAAGCAATAATGAATAATTATTTCATCAAGCAACTAAAGTAATACACACATATGCATTGACCAAAATTTTTGAAATGCAACATAGAATATTATACTCCCTTAAAAAGGTGAAAAAAAAAAAAAAAACATAAACTCTCTTTCCATATTATACATAAATGTTAAAATGCATATATATGCAAAAAACAGTCTCTTTCTTTTTATAATCACAACAAATATACTACATTTGAATGGTACAATTTTTTATTTTTTTTATAATAAAATGTTAAATACATTTTTGTGGGTTAAGTTAAATACTTGGTGAATTTGATTCAAAGCAAAACGGATTATGTTAAATACTTGGGTTAAGTTAAATACTTGAAATACAACATAGAATACTATACTCTTTAAAAAGGTGCAAAAAAAAAAATATATATATATATATATAAACTCTCTTGCCATATTACACATAAATGTTAAAATGCCAAATCTTTGAAATTTTTCTTTCAATTAGGAACTCTAGATATTCAAAAAAAATTATATGAAAAATATTTATCATCTGTACAACACAGAGCACTAATCACAGACCAAGTCCCAAATAACCTCTCTCTCTCTCTCTACATTCTTTGAGAAACCCATAATCAAACTCACATTTTATGAGTCAACCCAGCATTTAGAATAGATGTTTTTTAACAATCACATGAAAATGATAAATTAAAGCTGGAGCACAATAATTGTCCGAATTTGAACTTTTCTCTTTCTTAACTGACTTTAATTTTATAGAGATGAAATTAAAACCAAAATCAAAACCCATTATAATCATAAATATTTTGAAGTTCACCATTTATGACTTGGAAAGTCCAAACATAAATTTATGCCAAAAAAAAAAAAAAAAAATTTCACCAAATAACAAAGCCATTTTATAAGCAATAATGAATAATTATTTCATGAAGCAAAATGTAAAGATAAAGATCACTTCACACTAAATGTAAAGATCACCCTGTTGATTATGTTTATTGCTATCACATGAACTCTTCACATTAAGGTAAAGACTCTTCACATTCAGATTAGACAAAAAAACACATAGGCCTGTCGAAAGAGATAAAATTCCATTTAATCCAAAAAGAGAAAAGTTGAAAATATTTATGGGATGAAAGTTTAAAAATTTAAACTGATCTTTTAAAAAACAATTTTAAAATTTTAAAAATTAAAAAAAAAACAATTTGAGCCCAAATTTCATTTTCTTTACTATTTCGTATACTTATTCACCAACCAAAAATTGATCACTTTCTTTATGGGCTGATAAAAATCTAATGAAACTACTGCCATATGCTTGACATATGCTCAATTTGATCAATTTGATCAGAAAGAGAATAAAAGATTTGTATAAGGAATCCAACCTTGTGAAACTACCAAACTCCTATCATCAATATGATAATAAAAAATAGCAAGCAGTTTATCTGGGCATTGGGGTAAGGCTGCCTACAAATTTCAATTTATCTGTGCTTTGGGGTAAGGCTGATTAAAAACAGAGTCAACTTGGTGATAAAAAATAGAGGCAACTTAAATGTAGCCTTTGCAATTACTCTTTAATTTTTATTTTTAAATTGATGACTACCCTTTAATGTAGTCAACTTCTTTTTCTTCTTCATGCCTACCAAACGTTACCAAAGCAATAACAAAAGAAAAAAATAAGAACCAAAGTAATAAATTAATCGAGCCATCAGCAAAACAGAGAGAAAAGAGGAGAGACAAAAGCAAAAACAAAAACAAAAACAAAAAATTATGCATTTTCAAATGCTTGCTCTAATCTCATTTCATGTGTTTGGTTGCCACAAACTGTTTTAATTCCCAAAATTTGTGGCCCGTTTTAGGAATTAATGCAAAATTCTAAGTATTTGTCCTTATTGGAATATAGGAGGCCAAATATTGTCAATTTTAGGAGTTAAATTAACTTGGGCTGTTATGGGTAGTAATTGTTATATCAGCAAAAAAATCAAAATTCTACTATTAGTTTTCCCCCCAACTCCATTACCAGCCATGTCCCGACCTTTGCCACAATGGGCTCCCATTTGGCAAGTGTTAGGTTTTTTTTCTTGGCAATCCCGTTTGACAAAACTCCTTTCAGTTGTATTTATTTTCGCACTTTTATTTCAGTGAGGCTATGAGTGTTTAGATGCGAATCCAACCCGAATGGTGCTTTTCAGAGAAGTTTGTGATGCTAATACTTTCAAGATTGTCACTTCGCTGATTATGACGGGGATCGAGCTGCCCGGTCAGCTCGTGGGGGTCCAGGGGGCAGCTGTACCTGTTCCTAAAAAGACTAAGATAGGACCAAAAACAGTAGATTGTGTGTTTATTGGTTATGCTCAGAATAGTAGTGCACAAAGTTGCCTGTCCGCTCGAGCGGACATACCCGCGCTCGAGCGGAGAATCCCTGGTTCCAGCAGTTTTGGTCGCCTGCAAAAATACTGAGATATGTGATTTCGCGCTCGAGCGGGATTTCTGACGCTCGAGCGGACCTCTGTTATATCACGCGCAGATTTTACTGAAGACGCTCGAGCGGGCTGTTGGGCGCTCGAGCGAAGATCGCGGGACAGATTCTATAAATTCGCGTGTTGGGTCAGATTTTAGGATAACTTCTCAAGTTGCATGGGAAAGTGTCTCAAAAGGGTAGAAATTCGAATACTTTTTGGGTTAGTTTTCCGGGCTTGTGGTTGACAGAAATCACCGCGGATATATACAAAGTTCCTGAAGTTCCTGAAACTGGAAAAGTAATTACTCTGCTTTGATCCAGTTTGATTGATTTTGTGCAATTGTTGGAATTTTTGCTAAACTATGTTAATTCTTCATGTTTTACAGCAATAGAAATTGATGGAATTGATGCTGTTTCTGGAGGCTTGAAGGTTTATCTGCTTGCTGACCACACTGGTGCATTGTTGACCTCTTATTAGTGGTATACCGCACCATCTTTGTCGATTGGGAATTCGATGGAAGTGTTGAATTCCTGGGTATGATGTGGTGCAAGCTTTAGTTGACTTATAAAGCTAATCTTGTTAATTATAATTATTTTTAGTCATGTTTTTTTTTTTTTTTAATTGGAATAAAATTGTACAGAGAAAAAATGGCAGGATGTTGCTAGAAGTAAATGCTTTAATATATTGAACTTGTTTTTATGAGTAAGCTATGGCATTCTGGTCATGTGTTATCTTGTTGATAAACTCCTGATATTTGGCTAAATGCTCATTTTCAAGCTTTAGGAAGCATCTAATGGTGGAATGTGATGCTTGGCTATATGTCAAATTTATATTTGACAATTCATATGTCATCTCTTCATTTATTTTATTTTGAAGTGGGGAAAGATGAATCCATAAGTGTTGTTTCTATGGAAATTCTTGAACTTGATCTTACTATGAAGTACCTCAATTGTTTGCTCTTCGTATTAGTACAATATGTTTGAAAAAAATCAAACTTTATATATGTCTTTGTGTAACTTCTTGTTGATGGCAACATAAGCTTGGTGTCTTTTTCAGTTCTTATAAGGAACCAAATGAATAGCATATTGCAATTGATCGGTACCTATTTACAAATTATCAGTCTTGCTTGCTGCTTTAGGTGGAACATATTTATAAACATGTCGTAATTCTTCAGCCTTTCTATTTCCTAAGTGCCTTTCATCTACAATTAGTTATGTAGCTAATGCTTGTATTGGAAATTTCGCGGAGAATTCACAACAACAGATACGGAGAAACCCTCTCGACCTTCTCGCTCGAAAATTTTCCCGAGAAAATCTCCGAGAAAGTTCGTATGATCAGTCGGAGCGGAGACAAGAGAGAGCTTCATTCCAAGGAATGGTTGCTTGATCAATGGTGATTTTGGGTAAAAGCGGAGAGAGAGAAGCAGATAAGTTAATGGCGATGGGATCGGAGAGATCGAAGCCTCTGCACAATTTCACGATGCCGTGTTTGAAGTGGGGGAGTCAGAGGTATCTCAGGTGCATGAAGATGAATCCAAATGGCGAAGTCTGTTCTGCCGATCGGAGGTCTTCAGCTTCCGAAGTAGATAAGCGTTTGATCGGGAGGCGGATCGGACGGACTGATCGGAAGGAGAGTTTCCAGAAGTCTCCGTCGCCGGCGGAGACGGAGGTTGGGGTTTTTGGCCGGAAATCGAAGGCTGCGAGCGACGGAGACGATGGAATCGAGGCGGTTAGGGAGAAACTGATGTTCGATCTCCAGACGGCGGCGGACAAGATGAAAGTCGCGATTTTAAGGGAAGGTTTGGAGGACGTACGGCCGCCGACCGCCGCCGCAGCACCGGCGGAGGCCGACGGTGCGAGACCGTGGAATTTGAGGACGAGACGAGCTGCGTGTAAGGCTCCGACTGGAATCAACGGAGCTATCGGCGGCGGTGGCGGTGGCGGTGGGAATGTTAGTGGTGGCGGTGGCCGTGGCGGTGCGAAGAGTTCGAAGGTTGACGAGCGAAAACCTAATTTCTCGCCCTTGAGGACCGAAAACAAATCTCCAGGATTGGTCGGCGATGTCACCGTGCCGGCGGGGGAAAATCTCGCCGGCGAGATGAGAGATAGGGCTAAATTCTCAGTTTCGCTTTGTCGGCGAGAGATTGGGGATGATTTTATGGTGATTGCCGGACATAGACCGCCTCGGAGACCCAAGAAGCGGCCAAAGATTGTGCAAGAACAGCTTGATGTAAGTGAAATCTAATCAATTATAAATTTCAAATTCTATTTCTTCTCAACTTTCTTTGTTTCTCAATTTGTGATTTGATTGAATTGCGTAATTTACTGTTCTATTGATTTCTCTGCAGTGTCTTTTTCCGGGCTTGTGGTTGACAGAAATCACCGCGGATATATACAAAGTTCCTGAAGTTCCTGAAACTGGAAAAGTAATTACTCTGCTTTGATCCAGTTTGATTGATTTTGTGCAATTGTTGGAATTTTTGCTAAACTATGTTAATTCTTCATGTTTTACAGCAATAGAAATTGATGGAATTGATGCTGTTTCTGGAGGCTTGAAGGTTTATCTGCTTGCTGACCACACTGGTGCATTGTTGACCTCTTATTAGTGGTATACCGCACCATCTTTGTCGATTGGGAATTCGATGGAAGTGTTGAATTCCTGGGTATGATGTGGTGCAAGCTTTAGTTGACTTATAAAGCTAATCTTGTTAATTATAATTATTTTTAGTCATGTTTTTTTTTTTTTTTAATTGGAATAAAATTGTACAGAGAAAAAATGGCAGGATGTTGCTAGAAGTAAATGCTTTAATATATTGAACTTGTTTTTATGAGTAAGCTATGGCATTCTGGTCATGTGTTATCTTGTTGATAAACTCCTGATATTTGGCTAAATGCTCATTTTCAAGCTTTAGGAAGCATCTAATGGTGGAATGTGATGCTTGGCTATATGTCAAATTTATATTTGACAATTCATATGTCATCTCTTCATTTATTTTATTTTGAAGTGGGGAAAGATGAATCCATAAGTGTTGTTTCTATGGAAATTCTTGAACTTGATCTTACTATGAAGTACCTCAATTGTTTGCTCTTCGTATTAGTACTTTTCCATATCAAAAAATCAAACTTTATATATATATCATTCAAAATCCAAACCCAACAAACATCACACCAATAATAAATCTGTAGGAGTTTTCCAATATGGGTAAACCCAAAAACACACCTAGAGGATTGAAACAGAGCAAGGAATAAAACCAAGTTTTTCCAACTCCATTGAACCCAGCAGTTAAATATACTTTTCCATATCAAAAAATCAAACTTTGAATATATATTATTCAAAATATATATCAATATATATAATTTGCATTGAAACAGAGCAAGGAATAATACTAAGTTTTTTCAACTCCATTGAACCCAGCAGTTAAAAATATAATCATTCAAAATATAATTTGCTCACACAACATACAGAATCAACATACTAAGAGAGATCATAGTGAGAGTCAGCGGTGAGTAAAGTGGGTGCTCTGGATCATTTCTCAGATATCTTTGATTGTTCCAGAGGGAGTTCCAAACTCAAAAAATGCAAGCAATTGCAGGTACCCCTTTCTACTTTTCATGCATCCTCTTCTCCGACCTTTGCCACAATGGGCTCCCATTTGGCAAGTATTTTTTTTGTCATCCTCTATGCCCTAAACAACTCTCAATAAATTAAGTAGGTCATTTCTATACACTTTGAACGAATAGATCAGAATGTTGATTCTTGTCAAATATAAAAATTGATTATTTTTCACCCATTATGAGAGTTTTTCATTGTATTAAGTTGCTTATTTATTCTAATGAGGACTCTTTATTGGGTTGGTTTTGGGCTCCTAGAATTGTATTATTGGAGTTGTATTTGATCTAATTCTTCTCACATTTATAAAAATAATAGTTTCATATTCTTCTAGAATTGTTTTGGACTCATATTTACCCGTTGACACTAAAAAAATAAATAATAGGAGAATAATATTGACCCACCTTATTAGATAGCTAGTTTTCTTCTTTCTTTTAGAGAGCAGTTAGCAAACATTTATATAATTATTTTATTTTAATAATTAAAAAATCTTAGTGTAAATAACTTAAATAATTTATTAACATGATATTAATGGCTAAATATTGGAAGTAAACACAATGTGTATAACTTTACCATTAAGAAGGAAAGGAGGTTACACAAAAATATTGACCAAAAATAGCTTGAATTACTAATGAAAAGCTTTTATTTTCATGAATTTTTAATGGAAAATATTGATGACTACTCAAAAATTTGGTGATAAAAAATATTTAATTTTTATCACCATGAGCACGGAGCCATGAGCACAAAGCCAACTAATAAAAAACATAGCATACAAAGATTTTGATGATAAAAAACAGAGTAAACTTGAATTTTTAGAGAGACAACTTGAATTTTTATTTGCAACTATTGTCTCTCCATACAAAGCTTTGGTGATAAAAAATTTAATGTAGTCAACTTCTTCTGGTGATAAAAAAACATAGCATACAAAGCTTTGTAACTACTCTTTAATTTTTATTTTTAGATTGATGACTACTCTTTAATGTAGTCATGCCTACCGAATGTTACCAAAGCAAAATCGAGAGAAAGGAGGAGAGAAAAAAGCAAAAACAAAAAAATTACTGTAATGAAAGCAGCCGAAGTGATGTTGCAGCCGGAGTGAACAATGGTGAGAGTGATCCACAGTCAAAGTAAGCTCTGATGAAGGCAAAAGCTAAGAACATAAAAATAGATCTTCTTTTGAACCCAGCAAATAGATCTTCCTGGTTGGTTAGCTTCAACACTAAATAATAATACTGAATTGGTTCAATTTCAATATAAAATAATAATACTAAGTTTTTCCAACTCTATTGAACCCAGCAGTTAACTTTTCCATATACTTTAAAACATGATTTTTTGTGAGTTAACTTTTCCATTGTTGCAGAGAGGTTTGATCAAGACTCACTAATCAGATTAAGACTCTTTAACTTTTCCATTCAATATTGAACCCAGCAGTTGACTTTTTAATGAAAAGTTTGTAAGTTTTTCCAACTCTATTAAACCCAGCAGTTAACTCTATCAAAACATTACTTTTCCATATATATATATATCATTCAAAATCCAAACCCAACATACATCACACCAACAATAAATCTGTATGAGCTTTCCAATATGGGTAAACCCAAAAACACACCCAGAGGATTGAAACAGAGCAAGGAATAATACCAAGTTTTTCCAACTCCATTGAACCCAGCAGTTAAAAATACTTTTCCATATAAAAAATTCAAACTTTGAATATATATTATTCAAAATATATATCAATATATATAATTTGCATTGAAACAGAGCAAGGAATAATACTAAGTTTTTTCAACTCCATTGAACCCAGCAGTTAAAAATATAATCATTCAAAATATAATTTGCTCACACAACATACAGAATCAACATACTAAGAGAGATCATAGTGAGAGTCAGCGGTGAGTAAAATGGGTGCTCTAGATCATTTCTCAGATATCTTTGATTGTTCCAGAGGGAGTTCCAAACTCAAAAAACGCAAGCAATTGCAGGTACCCCCTTCTACTTTTCATGCATCCTCTTATTTTAATATCTCTGTTTTTGTGTTTGATTTCTAACTTTATATTTTAAGATTAATTACACCGAAGATCTCTCTTTTAAGTATTAAGTTAATTTTGTAACTTGTATGTTTCGATTTCTCAACTATAAATACAACCAGATACAAATATTTTAGAAACATGAATTTGGAGATAGATTTAGAAAGAAAAAAGAAAAACAAGTGAAATGCATTTATTCACATTTCAAATCTTTTTTTCAAATTCATTACACGATAGTTCCAACTTCCAATGCCACTGATGATATCAAAAAAAATTCACAAAAAACATCTTACAGTAGTGGCAGTTTGATTTTAGAAACAGTTTTGTACAACACTTTGCATATCACTTTGCAAATCACTACAAAGTTGTTGCATATCAATATATATATCATTCAAACCCAACGCAATAAAATAATTTGCACACACAACATACCTCACACCAACAATAAATCTGTAGGCAGTTTCCAATGTGGATAAACCCAAGAACACACCCAGAAGATTGAAACAGAGCAAGGAATTCAACAAACAATAGGCTCTTTAGGGGATGAGAGTGATTAATTCAATATGATATTAAAGCAAATAATATATCATGTGTTCAAATCTCAGTACTATAATGATAATTGTATATTTATTTCAGTTAATATTACTACTTTTGTTGTTTGAATTTGTAACTTTTCATTTGTTTGTTTGTTTGTTTGTCTTTTTTTATTTTTATTTTTTTTCTTTGGTTTATTTGAATCTCAGCGAACCCATAATACGAAGCTTTTACATTTCTACATATCACTAAAAAATATATATATAAAATCAACTTAAAAAAGAAATAACAAGGAATAAGCCATGCTGCATCTATACTTTGACTTAGAAAAGTGGTTAAAACAAGCTCTCTTAATTTGGTTATGTTTCATGTTCATGATGAATATTATTAGATGCGTGTGCAAGTATGTGTATTATAATAATTTATTATTTTTATATTTTTTTTGCTATGAGCTATGCAACTTAACTGTATGTTATAGAGGGTATTTTGTTCTGACTTTAAATGAGATTTTCGTAAGTAAACGGTGAGATTGGTCCTTTAAAAGTAATCAAAGTGCGCATATATTGTTCTAGACAACGATATGATATAGATAATAGATAAAATAGATGGACAATTTTCAGTAATGAAATTATAGAAACATACTACAAACAAACACGCAATCTTCATACAAGAAAGGTGTTTAAATAGATATAGATATATACGTGGAATTAGGAAGAAAAAGACTAAACGTTGCCGTGTTGGGGGAAAATTGGACCTGTGGGAAGCCGTTTGGCGTCTTGGGGGTGGGGGCTGGTACCATAGAATTTTAAAACTTAGATGGCATGGCCCCCCTCCGGTTTTAGGAATGGTAACGGTGCGGCACAAGACTAGTTTGTAATTTTTTGTTTTTGTATCTTATTTTTTGGAAGAATAACGGCATAGTGACGACAGCAAAAAAAATTACAAGATCGTAGAAAAGTATAATATATTAAATTTTTTTTTTTACTGTTACACTATATTGTTATTTCTCTCTCTTTTTTTTGGGGGGGAATAGGAAAAATTAGAGAGTTGGTGGGGACGAAAACCCGAATGGTACTAATGAGAAATAGATGATATAATATAGGGACAATTAGATGTCAGTGGGTTTTAGGGGGAAAAAAAATTACAAAAAATGGTAATAATTATAAATATTTATAATTAAAATAATAATTTTTTTTCATTATTTTGTAAAATTTAATTTTGAATGAATTTTTACTATTGAATGTAATGACGTGAAGGGTTGGGAAGAGCATCTCCCTCCATGCCTTGGCATAATCTTTGTGACTAACTCTAACTTGTCAAATTTTTGCCACACTTTTTCAACTCCTCACGTTATCTTCATTCATGAATTCATCATCAATTCATTCATATCTCGTTTCCAAACACTCCCTTGCTTTTTGTCTTAATTTGAACATTTTTTTCAACTTTCTTGGAAGCATCAATCTATGTATTCAGTTAGATAGCTAAGATATAAATGAACTGCTACCATACAGTACACCCCCTATGCATCTAAAATTTTAACCACAATAATTTATAATTTTCACTCATTTAAATCATAATAAAATAAAATTAGTTTATAATATAAGACCTACTACTTTAACTTAAAAAGAAAGATTAATTTTTCAAATCCAATGAACGCCTACCATACAGTACACCCTCTATGCATCTAAAATTTTAACCACAATAATTTATAATTTTCACTCATTTAAATCATAATAAAATAAAATTAGTTTATAATATAAGACCTACTACTTTAACTTAAAAAGAAAGATTAATTTTTCAAATCCAATGATGTTTTAATTTTTTTGAATATTTAAGATAACTATCTTTCTCATATTTTTTTCTAATCATTAATTAATTGTCTCTTTTACAAATTACTGAACTTTTATATAATTTTTTATAATAAAAACATTCTAACTGAAGTTGGAAGTGACTCAACCATTAATTCACTTAATTCCGTTGCCTAACATCTACAATATATATATATATATATATACACATCAATTTTTTTATTACTTAATATTTTTAAAAATCCTGTAAAATAAAATTTCATTTTGATATTTAATTTAAGTTCTGATAAAACCTTAGACTGCAACTGATCAAGGTCACTTCAATTCATAAGAAACACCACACAAGGCTTGCAACCGAGGCCAATTCGGTTCATCATTAAAAAAAAAAAAAAAAAAAAAAAAAAAAAACCACTGATAATTAAATACAAACTCTCATAATTAAAATTAATTTCAATTACAATAAGAAAATATTACAAACGTCTCATAACCAATCATCACAAAGTCTCCTGACCATGTTTGTCACAAATTTGACCACCACAAATCTTTTTTTTGGATAAGTCATATTTATAACCAAAAAAGAAAAATATATAATGAAATTCAATACATATTTTTTTATAAGGAGAACAAATATAAACAAAAACAAGTCGTAACTAGGGCCAAAATGTGAATGATAGATTTTTTCTAAAATAAAAACGAGTGCAAATTTCATTTTATCTTGTCATAGTTTACTCGATGTGAGGCTTGCTTTCACAGTTGATGTAAACTTAAAAACACCGAATATGCAGCGGATAAAATAATTAGATCATACCTTCTTGATGATAGAACCTTCTTGGATAAATCACGTGCTTCCAGGAAACTTCTTGATGAACCAACCCAGCAGTGGAGTGATATCACAGATTGAATATCACCCACACAAACCACAGTGTCAAAGACTTGATCGTTGTGCTTTTGGGAGAGAGTCAGTATATGGATAGAAACAGACTATACGTTGTTTCTCACTTGGATTACCCATAACCATATATCAGATATATAATATATTATAATATCTATCCATATCAGTTAAAACTGATAACATCTGTATCTTGAGTGGTTATCCTAAATAGGTTTGAATTCAAATTCAAAACCTATTTGGATAAGGATCAAATTTAAATTTAAATGGTCATGCCACATGGGCGCCCATTACTAACAGTTGAAAATAAACACGTGCATTTCTTATGGTTTGTACAAGTGCAATGTCTGTACCTTTATGCTGTGTTTGGTTGGGAGATTTGGGAAGAGATTTAAAAAGGAAAATAGAAAAGGTAGGTGAAATGTAAATAAAATATGTATATATTTCACATAGTTTCACACACTTTTTTCTTTTCCCTTTCCAAATCCCTTCTCAAATCTCCCAACCAAACACACCATTAACGATTTATGCAAAAAAAGATTAAAATAATTTTATACATGAGTGATCTCATTGTGTAACGAAGGGTTGTAGCCTGTGTGGCTACTAGTCCTATTTGGCCACCAAGTCTGTTTTAAAGGGAGTTCATGGATTTATTCTTTGGGAGTAAAATGGGACATAAGATTTAAGAATTGTTTGGAATAATTTAAATAAATATATATTTTGACTTTTTATGAAAAGATATAAAAAAAATAAAAAAAATTTAAATGATATGACTCAAAAAGATTAAAAAAATTTTTTTTTACTAATATCCAACATGTCAAACAAACTCTTAGTCCTTGCAAAGGGTTTGAGAGTGTGTTCAATAGGACTCAAAATACACACGTGGCGTCTACCCCTCGCATTTGTAGTTTTGTAGCTCTATAAATACGAACCAGACTGAACACATCCCTCCATTGTAATTTGTATCTTATTAAAAATAACAAACAAACCATGGGCAGTGGTGGAATGGCATGGGGTGTGCTTTTCTTCATGATCATGGCCTTCGTGGGTCTCAACACACGAGTTTTGAAGGCTGACAATGGGCTCTGCTTTGCAGCAAATGATTACAAAGATGCACTCACCAAAGCCATCTTGTTTTTCGAAGGCCAACGGTCAGGGAAGTTACCGGCAAACCAGAGAGTCAAATGGAGGGGTGATTCTGCACTCTCTGATGGCAACCCTGATAATGTATGCTTTTCTTAACTATTAACAATTTTTATCAATTTTTTTTTTCTTGCTTTTTAATCATGCATGGGAGATATGGCTTTTCTTAATTGTTTTGTCTTTGTATAATTTTTTTTTCCTTTCTAAACATGGAATCAATTTAAACCATATCATGCATTTTTCTGTGTTTTAATTCTATGTTTTGAGCTCTAATATATGTTTACCATTTTGCTCTTCCAAATGCTTCAAATATTTCAACATTACTTGGTTTGTATTGGGTAATTATTTAATAGTCAGTGTTTACGTGGTTATCCAAACTGATCACAGTGACAAATTTTTTTTTTATAGAAAATAAAAGATGAGCATCTCCAATGCACTAGGCATATAATACTTGTTAGTTAAAATGCCTAGTGTGATTCATTTTTTTTAATTCCAACGCACTAAGCATATAATTAGGCATTTTGGCTCAACTCATATTCACTAGCTACATGTAGCTAGCCTTCAACGCTAGGCAAAATGTATTCAATCATTAGGATCATTTCCCTCCATCTTTGTTGTTGACGTGGCATTCTATAAAATTAATAGTATTTGGATTAATAGCTAAAATGAAGAGCATGGTTGGAGTAAAAACATAAAACAGTTGATAGGCAAAATAAAATATATACTTTATAGTAATATTTAGATAGGTAAAATGCCTACTACCGTTGGAGATGCTCTTAATATGTGTTATAATTTTTTATTGACCAGAAGTATCACACGTAGATGATAATACATAATATTCCAAAATAATCTAATAATTTTTCATTATATTAAAAGTGAAAAAATACAAATATATATATATATATATATATAATTTCTACTAAAACAAACACATGTAGGCATATAGCTATAATACACAGGAATTGTGAATATATATTGCAGGTGAGATTGATTGGAGGATACTATGATGCTGGTGACAATGTGAAGTTTGGGTGGACCATGGCATTCAGTGTGAGCTTGTTGAGTTGGGCTGCTTTTGAGAACCAGAATGATATATCTTCAGCCAACCAGCTCGATTACCTTCGCACAGCAATCCGTTGGGGGTCTGATTTCATTTTGAGATCTCATACTTCACCTACCACCCTCTATACTCAGGTCCTCTCTCTCTCTATTATTTGCAAAGAATAATTCCTTTTATATTTTATTCATATTTTATTTTGTAATCCCAATTGATTTAACTTAATGATAAGACTTGTCGTTAATACACACCCGTGACACAATTTCAAGTCATATAGTGTTTTGAGGTCTTCAAAATTTTCCATCTTGATTCTTTATTTACCATTACGAAACCTTATCTCACAGAAGAGAGAAGAAGGAAAAAAAGTATGGATTAAAAAATGAAGTCAAGAAAGATTCTCTTAAATTAAAAAGAGAACATAGGAGCATCCTAATATGTTATTGTGTGCTTTGTACCACTCGTGGGTGACGTGGTGCAGCAGACAGTTGGGCAAATTGAGGCGTGCGATCAAGACCCATGATTTTTATCAATAATAATTGTCAACCATGAGACAGTTAATATATTTATGTTCCGTCATCACAATCCTGTGGTACAAATTACATCACATCACAATAAAGGGCTTGATCAAATGGTCAAGATTTATAATGTCACGATGACAGATGAGTTACAATTACATTATGTGACTCTTGAATACTTCATTATTTTTTAAATAAAAAATTTTAAGTGTATCAATAACGTATCTTTCTTATATGAGGTAGGACACACACATTTGATAAGACTCACTTTATGTGAAAAATTGTGTTTGATTCTGCGCACATGGAACTGTGTGTCTATTCATCGGCTCATTCAGTGGCCTATGTATGTTGGTCTTTGGTTAGTTCTTTTACATCTTGAATCCATATATAGCTCTGAAGCTACAGGGTAATGCAGAGAGGTCACTAAACAGAACTGTACATCTCTACTAGTACTAGGACTATATTTACTACTTTTTCCAATATTGGTTTTGTAGGTAGGAGATGGAAACAAAGATCACCAGTGTTGGGAGCGTCCCGAAGACATGGACACGGCTCGAACGCTCTACAAGATCACTTCCACTTCACCAGGCACAGAGGCAGCAGCTGAGGCTGCTGCCGCTCTTTCTGCTGCTTCAATTGTGTTTAAAGGGGTTGATTCCAACTATTCTGCCAACCTATTAAGCCATTCAAAATCTGTAAGACGTATACTTTAAGACACTGTTTGCCCAGCAATTAAACTCTTATCTAACTTGTTGATTAAAATGTTTCTCAGATGTTTGGGTTTGCAGACAAGTATAGAGGGTCTTACCAGGGTTCATGCCCTTTCTATTGCTCTTACTCTGGCTATCAGGTAAAAAGTCCAGCTGCATATCAAAATGTTTGAGGCACGTAATTAAAGCACAAGAAGTGTACAAAAATGGCATTGTGTGATTGTGATTTATGTTAAGTGTGGTCCACACACACCAAACCCAAGATGAATCTTAGCCACATCGTGTGCTTTTCTATATTCTATTTCTGTGCACGTAACAAGTCCCACTACATGTATTACAAGAATTGGTGTTGTTTGTATGCTTCGAATTCAACCCAGATTATGTTATCACCCATTGGCAGCCCACACGGCTAGGCCAAACGGCCAAGTATTTGTATTTGGATATGTTTTGATCCAAATTAGTATTATTTGGATCTTTGTATTTATTGGGTTGTTAAGGTTCTAAGGTTTTTAAATGTTAAAGAGCAATAGAGTATGTTGACAGAGTTGACAAATTATATTCTCTACACTTTCTCCGTTTTTAGCTAGTGAACTTACACGTTAAGCGGAACCACAAAAATTCTTGTGTGCTCGTTCTTCTATTTAGTAGTATTTCTCAATTTCTGATTCCATCATAACAATAACTAAATTTTCAATTAAAGGATGAGCTGTTATGGGCTGCGGCATGGCTATACAAGGCAAGTGGAGAAAGCAGCTACTTGAACTATGTCGCGAGCAACCAAGGTTGGAGTCAGGCAGTATCGGAGTTCAGTTGGGATAACAAATTTGCAGGAGCTCAAACATTACTAGCAAAAGTACCTTTCTATTACCAACCATGTTGTCTTCTTTCCGTTCGATGAAATGACTGAGTTAATGAGATTTTCTGTTCAGGAATTCTATGGTGGGAAGTCTAATTTGGATAAGTTTAAGAAGGATGCTGACTCATTTGTATGTGCACTGATGCCAGGGAGTGGCTCTGTACAGATTAGCACAACCCCTGGTAAACATATTTATGAGACCTAATTAAGTTGGTTTCTAGGTCCAATGATGGCTTCACTTTGTTCTGTAAAATGATATACTTGGTTCTGTTTTTTGTCTTATAGGTGGGCTTCTGTATTATAGAGATAGTAGTAATCTACAATATGTTACAAGTGCTTCCATGGTGCTCTTAGTCTACTCGAAGATCCTTGATGCTGCTAAAATACAAGGAATCCAATGTGGTTCTACCCATTTCTCCAATTCTCAAATCAAGGCCTTCGCAAAAAAACAGGTAACATTATAACTTATAAATGTCGTAAGGTGTCTTGTGTGTTTGTTCTGAACAACAATAAATAAGAATAATTCTACATTGCCCAATAGTTCCTCCCCAATGTTTTACACTTGATTACAAATGCCATGGATGCCATCAACAGAAAATGTAAATTTTATCTTTTTACCCTTCAACTATTAACTCTTACTATTATCTTATTCAACTCCACCCACCACCACCTTCCATCTCCCATTGCTATCTTTCGGTAAATTTTTGGGCACCGTGAAAAAAATTGTGTTTGTAAGATTATATTTTTCCTTTTTTTTAACTTTTCTATCTGCTTTCAGGTGGATTACATACTAGGAAACAACCCCAAGAATATGTCATACATGGTGGGATTTGGGAGCAAATACCCATTGCAATTACACCACAGAGGTTCATCCATCCCTTCAATCCAATCTCACCCATCCAAGGTGGGATGCAACGATGGCTTTTCAACCTGGTATTCTTCTAGCAAACCAAATCCAAACACTCATGTGGGTGCCATTGTTGGAGGTCCTGATTCAAGTGATCACTTCAATGATGTGAGATCAGATTATTCCCATTCAGAGCCAACAACCTACATGAATGCAGCTTTTGTTGGTTCAGTGGCTGCTTTGCTTGGTGAAACCAGAGATGATTGTTTGCAAGGTGGAACCACAAATGTGGTCGGAGATGTTTAGTGTACCAATTATGCTATGAACACAGGAATCAAATATAGAAATGAACACAGAATGTACATGAATAGATATGATTTTTTACAAAATTTCACAAAAATCTTATCTATCCATACGCATTTTGTGTTCGATCTGTGTTCTTATATGTATTTTTAGTGTAGTAAGAGTGAATGTAACTAGTATTAATGAATAACCTACTTGTAGATTCAAGTGTTTTAGAATTTTAGGACCATCTTCTCTCGTTTCCGGTCCTAAATCCCCTCTTTACCATACAATTAGATAAGAAAAATATGATCGTGTGGTACAGAATAAATTTGGGACAAAGGAGAAGGAGACAGAGGATGAATACTCGAATTCTACCTTTATGGTGTGTGCAAAAATAAAAGTGGTCAAGAAGTTAATGTTAAGCAATAGAAAGGAGGGATCCATGTTGTATTCTCGACCATATTAGTAAGAAATTAATTTGAATGTCTTGCCGTCGCAAATATAAATATATATATTACAGGCTTGATGAAAATAGAGAAAAATTAAATTTTACATCAATTTTGAGAGTAAATTTAACATTTTGAACTCCTAATACAGTTTTGTTACACATCCACAAAATTTTATTGAAATTGAAATGTGTGGACAGTATTTATTTTAGATATGACTCACAATACATTAACTTCAAATTTATATTGTACTGGTGATAAAATTTATTGGGTAACCAATTATTGCTCGTAATCCCAGTACATAAGTTCGGCTCACGCTAAACCAGAGCAGTAGCAACTCTATTCTATTTATTTTTTTTTATAATTTTTTTTATAATCAAATAACACTTTGTACCCTTAAATTTTACACCGAGCCTCACTTTGTTACTTGACTTTCTAATTGTGAAAGTCAAAATTTCACATTTTTATGCAATGTGACCCAACCGTTACTCTCAATCAAAGAAGCATGAGAAAAATATGTTGTTCAAATTTTGAAATTAAATAAATAGATTTGTGAAAAAATCAAATTATACATATACTAAGAACACATGCTAATAATTACAACTAAATTTCAACAGAAATACACAAAACAATAAAAGGGTAAAGAGACGAAACCGAAGCCTGCACGGAAGCAGTTTCCTTAAAACAGATTTCGCCGCCTCACTGGTCGAGTGCTTGAGGAATCCCGGCGTCTGTCTCCCAAGATACGACGATCAAAACCAGCTACGGCAGAAGCACTGTCTGTCTAGCTTAGCGAACAAAACAGTGGCAGCACTCTCTCACTGTAGGAACTTTCAGGCAAACTGACTTGTGAAATGGAAATAAAAATTTCTGTGTTTGAGACTTGACAGGAGGGTCTCAATTTATACATGTATAGGGGAGAAGAGACGAAGAGCTCCAGCCTTTATGGCTGTTCATAATGCACCATTAACCTCTGCAATAACGCAGGATTACAAACCCCATTAATGCAGGAGTTACTAACCCCATTTAAGCAGAGTTACAAACTTATTACTTTTTCCATGAAGCACTAACTTCATAGGATATTTCTCATTCAAATCTCACTGGTTTTTGGCCATTCTATCTGTGTGTAAGATCTCAATGCAAAGTATCTAGACCCACTTGGACCAATACAATAGTGGTTGGACCCACTTTAATCTTTAATTAATCACCACACTTTAATATTAAATTGAATCCCCAAAAATCATTTTTCCAACAATCCCCACATGATAAAAATTGACCGAATGACTCAACAAACGAAACACCGTTCAACAATAATGACTCGAGAGAGAGTACAATGGACTAACCCCGACATCAGAGAAGTAGCTTTGGCTTGAACCTCTCCCAGTGAAAACCTATCGTATTACTGGCTGATAGTGAATATGACATCTTAACTACTCTGCCGTTTATGTAAACTGAGACCAAATACATCTACACACGGAATTACTCTACCACCATTCTGTTCACTGGTGTGCCTTGTGGCCCTGATACTAGCTGTTTCAGCGAGTGGTTCAAAAATCTTGCCTCCCAATCTTCTAGACAGCCCCCACCTTCACACTCATATAGGTGACTCTACTTGAGTATCATGCCTATACTCAGCTCAATAGCTTAAACACTAGAGTCATAAAAGCTCAGCTAACCTCTTACACTTGCAGTATCACTGATAGAAGGAATGACTGGAGTTAACCTCCTCGATGACATACCACCTTACACGCAATTAGTGTTTCCCATGAACCTGGATCTTGGGATCTCCAGTCAACTAGGTTGGGTTTCATTCGGTAACTTCCAAAGGCCTCAACCCCATTCCTTTTGACGACGGTTCGACTAACACTTGATTTAACCCTTGGTTAGCGGATCCGCAATGTTGTCCTTAGACTTTACATAGTCTATAGAGACAACTCCATTCGAGATAGTTGTCGTATGAAATTATGTCTACGACGGATATGTCTAGACTTTCCATTATACATATTACTCTGTGCCCTACCAATTGCAATTGATTATCACAATAATACAAATAGCAGGCAAGGTTGACAACTTGGAAATATCTTCAAGAATGCAAACCATTCAGCTTCTTCATTCTTTATCAAAGCAATAAAATCTGATTCCATCGTTGATTTAGATATACATGTTTGTTTAAGAAGATTTCCAAGACACCGCTGCTCCACCAGAGTGAACACATATCCACTAGTGGACTTTGAGTCGCTTTATATCTAATATCCAATTTGCGTCACTATAGCCTTCAAGCATCGCTGGATATCGAGTATAATGCAGCTCAAATCCCGAGTGTAGCGTAAATACCTAACACCCGCACCATATCCCTTCCAATGAAACATCGGGATTACTTTGTGTATCTACTAAGCCTGCTAACCGAGTAAGTTATATCCGGCCTAGTACAACTCATCAGAACATTAAACTTCTATTACCCGAGAATATTCTAACTGTGAGACACTTCATTATTATTCTTGACAATGTAGACTTAAGCTTACAGTGTCGATACCACACTCCCTATCTGACCACTAAAACTTTCTCAAGTATCTTATCAACATTAATTGAAGACCTGAATATACAATTCGTCAGAATTTCGTTAGTAAGTCTAATTCCAGAATAACATCTGCAATCCCAATCCTTCATGTAAACTTAGAGTTAACACACTTCTTGTAGTTTTTGATCATTTCATCGTTACTACCTATAATGAGCATATCATCAACATATAGACACAAAATTGAATAACCTTCTGTCAGTGTCTTTGACATAACACACATTCACATTCGTTGATTCTAAACCCATTTGACAACGATTCGTGCAACTTATCATCCATGTTTAGGGCTACTTCAAACACATACAAAGTTTGACAAGTTACAAAACTTTCCTGCTTTGCCCTGAGTGAAAATTCCTTCAGTGCTCTATGTAAAATTTCTTCATTAAATCATCATTATAGAAAGCTGTCTTTACATCCATTAGTGAATTTCTAGATGCGCAAGC